TTGGTGTGGTGAGTTTCTGGATCACGAAGACTGTTCCGCCGGTCCTCTTGTTGCCGGAAAGATCTCGACCACCACTACCTGTGTATGTGAAAAATTCCCATTGTCCTGAAACAGATAGAAGGCTGGGTGGAACCCTCTGCAGAGGCAAAAGAGGAGACTGCATTGAAAGCAAAACCCCAGGATGGCTACTTTCAAAGAAACAGAAAATAACAAGTGTTGGTGAGAATGTGGGGAAATTGGGCCCTTTTTCCAGGGGACTGCAGAATGGCAAGCAAAATGTACAGTGTGGTGCGTCCTAAGAGCTAAACAGAGGGCTGGGCAGTGGTGGCTTACACCTGTATCCCAGCACTTTAGGAGGCTGGGGGGAGCAAGGATCGCTTAAGCGCGACGTTGAAGATCAGCCTGAGGCAACATGGCGAAACCCTATCACCACACACACAAAAATAACAAAAATTGCTTTCGGCGTGGCCGGGCGTGGTGGCTCACGCCTGTAATCCCAACACTTTGGGAGAGCCGAGGCGGGCGATCACGGGGCCAGGAGATCGAGACCATCCCTGGCTAACACGTGAAACTCTTCTCTCCTTTAAAAATACAAAAAAAAAAAAAAATTAGCCAGACGTGGGTGCGGGCGCTGTGGTCCCGCTACTTTCTTGGAGGCTTGAGGTAGAAGAATGTGTGGACCCAGGAGGTGGACGCTTGCAGCGAACCAGATTGCACCATTGCACTCCAGCCCTGGCAACAGAATGAGACTCCGTCTCCAAAAAAAAAAAAAAATTAGTTTAGCATAGCAGTGCATAATGCCTGTAGTCCCAGCTTCTTTGGCGGCTGATGTGGGAGTCACTTAGAGCCTAGAGAGGCAGTGGCTGTAGTTGAGTTGTGATCATACCACTGCACTTCAGCAGAATGAGACTCAGTCTCCAAAAAAAGAAGAACAGATCAGAAACTCACCAACACCAACAGGTTCGTGGAATGAGTCTTCTTATTTCCTTGCCGGCACACATCTGCCGAGTCCTTGGTTCTGTTCTGGGCCTCATGTCCAGCAAGTGATAGTCTCATTAGGAGCTTGGTAGAACATAGTGATGCCTGGCATTCGGTTCCTCTCTTCTTTTTTTTTTTTTTGATGGAGTTTTGCTCTTGTCCCCCAGGCTGTAGTGCAGCGGTACCATCTTGGCTCACTGCGACCTCTGCCTCCCAGGTTCAAGTGATTCTCCTGCCTTAGCCTCCTGAGTAGCTGGGATTACAGGCGCCTGCCACCATGCCTGATTACTTTTTGTACTTTTAGTAGAGACGGGGTTTCACCATCGAGACGGGGTTTCATCATGTTGGCCAGGCTGGTCTCCAACTCCTGACCTCAGGTGATCTGCCTGCCTCTGTCTCCCAAAGTGCGTGGCTGATTTTGTGCTACAACAACAGCTGAAGAAGGGTCCCTCTGCATAGACCGTGTGCCTGCACAGCTGGAAGCACATCTTTTTTTTTTTTTTTTTTTTTTTTTTTGAGACAGAAGTTTCATGCTGTCGCCGCAGGCCGCTGAAGTGCAGTGGCAGGATCTTCCGCTCAACTTCAAGCTCCGCCTTTCCCAGGTCACCCGGGCACATTCTCCATGGCCTCAGGCCTTCCCTACAGAAGCTGGACTTACAGGTGCCCGCCACATTACCGGCTGATTTTTTTGTAATTTTTAGGTAGAGAACCCGGGTTTCCACTGTGTTAGCCAGGATGGTCTCGATCTCCTTGACCTCGTGATCCGCCCCATCGGCTCCCAAGGCTGTGGATTACACGGCGTGAGCAACCGAGCCCCCAGCCAGAAGCATCTATTTTCCGGAGGTTTTTTTTTTCTTTTTGAGAAACAAGTCGTCAGTCTGTTGCTCAAGCTGGGGTGGACAGCTGGCTGCCAATCTCAGCTCACTGCAAGCCTTGGCCTCCCTGGCTCAAGTGAGGTCCTCCTGCCTCGGCCCTCCTGAAGTCGGCTGTGACTATAGCCACGCGCTAAACACACCCAGCCTCATTTTTTTATCTTTTACTTTTTTGTAGATGGGGTGTCTCACTACATTGCCCAGGCTGGTCTTCGACACTCCCCTGAACCTCAATTGATGCCTCCAAGCCTCAGCCTCCTGAAGTGGCCAAGAATTACGCGGCGCCAGCCACCGGGCCCCAGCAATTAGATACCTAACTATCACGCCAGCGCGCAGTGGCTCAATGCGTGTATATCACACTGGGAGGCGCGAGGAAGAGCTGATCACCAGAGGTCAGGGGTTCAGACAGCCCTCAACATGGTGAAAACCCCCATCTTCTCTAAAAATACAAAAATTAACCAGGGGACGGTGGCGAGCACTGTAACTCCAAGCACTCAGGAGGGGTGAAGGCACGTAGAATTTGTCTGAGCCCAGGAGGCAGAAGGTGCAGCAAGCAAGAGATTGCACCCACTGCACTCCAGCCTGGGCAACAGAGCAAGAATCCTATCTCAACAAAACAAAGAAAACCAAAACAAACCAAGAGGCCTGTTCTCTGACCTTTTATAGGGAAGTTTGCTCGCATCCTGCTGAATGGTCACAGTATAGTGGCACATAAGAAGGGGAGGACCAGAACCGGGCGCCAGGGCTCACACCTGTAATCCCAC